GGAAAACGTTATCAGCCTCTGCGGTTCTTGTCTCTCTTTCACTATCTTGCAATCTCTTATTAGTATCAGCTATCTTATGTTCTAGACTTTCAGACTCTACGGTTACCTTTTTGAACTTGTTAGGTTCCCTAGATTTTGATGAACAAGTATTATTTTGATGATGCCACCCCTTTTAATATAATATCCCTGTAATAGACTAGCACTTGTATTTGTTCTACTACTGTTTATTGTAATGTGCTCAAAAGTGATAAAGTACTCAAGAAAAAAAGAGAGTACTAAAAAAGAGAAGAAACGTACCATAAAACAAAAAGAAAAGAAACATACAGAAAAGGTACAAAAAGAGTCAACTAAAACCCTTATGAAATCAGAGACTTAATCAGAGAACCTTCAATGACCTTCTGATCATACCAGAGAACCTTAAACTCTGATAGTTATCAGAAGTGATCATCTCTGATAAACACCAGAGTTGGTTTTCTGTTGGGTCACCAGAAGACCTTCTGTCATGGTTATAACAGAGAACCTCAACAACAGAGGTGGTTCTCTGTTGCACCGGAACAGAAGACCTCATAGGTATTCTGGTAAGGTATTCTGTTGAGGTATTCTGATAAAGAACTCGATATCTACTATTCTTCTCTTAGCACATAAACAAAAAGACAGAAGACCCACTTGCAATCAAAATGACAGAATGCCATAGAAAATAATGCTACAATAATTATGTGACAAAATTTCTGTTATAACATTATTCACTGAAAGCAAGTAATCTTATCTTGAGGAAGCATTGAACAACACTCAGCCTAGATACTGAATTTCTGTAAGCTAAAAAGATAAAGATAAATCATCTTATCTTTGCCTTGAAATGAGGAATCAAGTTGAGTGAGGATAAAATGATCCGTGTCACAAGAAGACAACAATCAACCATGCTGTCCAGTCAAGTGGAACAAAGCAAGTAGATCAAGCAACGATCAAGATTGGATCACTCAGCCAATGGAGGAGATTCAACAACAAAGTCTATAAATACAGAAGGAGTGCAGGAAGACCAAGTGTGGCACCAAATGGCAATAAACTCTGGAATATTGGAACCTAGTGGAACAGAAGGGAATCAAGGTTTACTAGAAAACATCCAGCTAGCTGATTCACCTTCACCACTCTGGTTACCACCCCACTCATCTAATGCTCTTAGAATAGCTCATCATTCATACACATCTATAGAGCTTAGATTAGTTGGTAGACTAGTTTAAACCCATCTTAACTAGACTAGTGTATTCATCTGGTATGTTTGTGATCATCCAGAAGGTGAGGCAAGGACATGAGTAGCTTCTGGCTGGGCAAGCCATTAGTCAAAAACCTTTGAGGACATGAGTAGCTTGGAACAGACTGTTCCTCGTGAAAAACCTCACAATCTACACCCGGACAAGGGGTAGATTGGGCACTAAATGTAATGGGATATTCATTTAGTGGAAATCCATCCGAAATAGGTTGAGACTGGATGTAGGAGGATTACACTACCTCTGAACCAAGATATATCTTGTGTACCTTTTATATTCAGCACCCAACACATACTTCAGTTCTCACTCACCTTCACACTATCCCAAAGGCTTGCATATTAACTGTCCAGAAAAGTCCCTAAAGTTTTCTGTGAACCAAAACTCCTTACCTACGTACTACAAAGAGATCTATGACAATAGGTCTAAATCCTTCACACAAAGGTGTTCTGTCCACCCATCTCTGTTACAACTAAAAGGGTCATAACCTTTGTTCCTATAAAGTTTCACACTCTTGAGGTCAAGACTTCCGCTGTATGTTTCAATATCTTCCAAAAGATATTGGAACACATTCTGTTTGAGGAAAAAGGGTTGAAAAAGAAAACATTTTTAGAAGTTTATTCATCCCCCCTCTCTAGACTTCTACCTCACTTGGGACCATCAGTTGGTATCAGAGCGGTTGTTCATAGAGTCAGTTTTTAACCGACTTATTTTGAACAAAAGATCAACCACCAATCTCCCAAAACACTTATAGGGCAGAGATGGAAAGCACTCTGAAGGATACTCTTCAAAGAAGAGACAAGGAAGGAGAAAGCAAGCTATGATCAAACATCAAGGAAAGGGACTGCTGTTCAAAAAAGAAGAAGAAGTCAAGCCTACTATCATGACATCACAATTCTGGCCAACTCTACAAAGAAAGATGTTCACGAAGAGGTATATTCAAATACATCTCTAGTAACTCAGTTTATCTTGAATGTTCACACCTTTATCCCAACTGTGCTTCACTTCATAGAACATGCAGATAAATTTATTCCTTTCACAAATTGAAAATCTTGAACATCAGAAAATCCTAAAATAGCAAAAGTACTAAAAGGATAATCTGATGGTTAAGATCAATCCTATGAGGAAAAAAAACTGAGAGATCTCATTATGTTCATTACTAATGAAGATCACTGGATTGGCATTGAATATGACTTTATCAAATCTGCCCCTAACCTTCAGAAAACCAATACACTTACTGGTCCATCCATTATCCATATCAACTCCATAAACAAATGGACCAGTAACCAACTATATATTTTCACATCATCATACACCCTCCTCCTTACCCTTAGTCCCACACCAGAGAATCTATCACACACCCTTCTGGCTGACAATATTTTTTTGGGAAGTTAACCTGTAACACTCCAGCCCCATAGGCCCCGAGGTAGTTACTCCAAATCTCTAGTACTGTCCTCACAAACCGCCACTAGCCTTTTCCGCGCACTTTGTCCTCACTCGTGCGCGCCCCGAGAAACTTCCCAGGGGGGTCACCCATCCCAAGACTACTCACGTGCAAGCACGCTTAACTTTGGAGTTCTTGGCTAATGAGCTCCCTTAAAAGGAGATGCACCATGTTGGTATGAGTAGTACTATTAATCCGTTTAAATTAAATCTCAAGTATTACAATCACCCCCACTTAGGAACGCAACGTCCTCGTTGTGCCCGTAAACCAATCTTAATCATATCCCGGAATCTTTTCCCCTGCTAAGTGCCCGCCCGATATCCAACGGATCAACACACTGTCGCAGGGTTGCTTTGATACCACCTGTAACACCCCGGCCCCATAGGCCCCGAGGTAGTTACTCCAGACCTCTAGTACTGTCCTCACAAACCGCCACTAGCCTTTTCCGCGCACTTTGTCCTCACTCGTGCGCGCCCCGAGAAACTTCCCAGGGGGGTCACCCATCCCAAGACTACTCATGTGCAAGCACTCTTAACTTTGGAGTTCTTGGCTAATGAGCTCCCTTAAAAGGAGATGCACCCTGTTGGTATGAGTAGTATATAGGGACATATATGATTAGGAGAGATTTAAGCTATGTAGGTGAAGAAGAAGATGAATAGTAGAAAGTGTGTAAGTTATGTTCTATGGAATTAGGAATTAGGTTTACAAGAACTCACTTAAGGAGTATATATAGGGAAATCTGAGCCTGAGCCTATAATATGGGCCCGACAGACCCGGTAACATAAATAGACTTGTAATATAAAAAGGTAATCTAATACATACAAATGATATATGAACTATACAATAATACAAATGACATCCGATGAGCGTGTGCGGGCCACTGTCCAAGCCTAATAGTTGTGAGACCCGGGGGTCCGAGGCTATATACTCTATCACTGGGATTAACAAACATATCAACAAGTGGAAAGTAGGAAAACCAAGTCTTTTATCTCATTGATTAAAATCATACAAGTCATTCATCTTAATGTTTAATTAATTAATTAAAATCAAACAATCCCAAAACCTCCTTTTAATTACTAGTTTCATAAAAGAAAAGTATTTCTTTCCTTGCGGATACGAACTCTACTACACTATACTACATATTAGTGCTAGTATTGAATTTATTTTGAGGCACACAACGACATTAGTGCCGTCAAATTTGGCGCCATTGGCGGGGAAAGGCAATCAATTTTCTTTTAATTCAAAAATAATCAAAAAAGAAATAATTAACAAAAATATAAAAAAGATTTTACTTTTATTTTCTGAGATTTATTAGAGTATATGGTAAAAACTCATGAGAAATGAATTTCCAACTTTGTAGAAGTTGTTAACATGGATACCAACACATCATCCCTAGAGAGTCAAATTTATGTCTTGACTTCTTTATTAAATGAGTTTCTCTTGTGCTCAAAAGCTCAAGATGGCAAGACCTGCAACATTTGCATGTGTCACATGCATCTTACAGATTTTTTCCCGAACCTCCAAGAAGAATACTTTGAACAAATTGATAATAATGGTTTCCAAAGGAAAGTATCTCATAGGGGGTATGATATATTCTCCAACTCTAACATCAATATCCACAGAGGACATGGTTCGGGCTCTTTCTACCAACGTGAGCAACATGCAAAAAAACATGGTGCAATTCAAAAATGAGACCAAGTCTAGTATTTTAAACTTGGAAACTCAAGTGAGTCAAATAGTCGGAGCCGTGAGCAGGCTTGAAGCAAAGGATTCGGGAAAACTTCCCTCTCAAATAGAACATGATCCTAAACAGCAAACATTTGCAATCACATTGAACCAGATACTTGCGTCGTAGGTTGAGTCATTGATGCGCCGGGAGAATTGCCTTCAGAGAGAGACTGGACGGCAACAGATGGGTACTCTTGATGTCCATTAAGCGCGGATGTCACTAGATCTTCCATATTTTAAACAAGATGAGGGGGTAGAAATGTTCCAGTACTTATTTCATGATTCTCAACAGTTAGAATTAAATGAAGCTACAAATCACTAAGGAAGGAGATGAGTATATTGGCCCGATTTAAGAAAAGTGCAGTAGAGTAAGTTAATTAGGATAACTCTGAAGAGTAGAAATGGAAGCTATGTATTTCGGTATTTCCTTAGTGTTTCCTTCTGTATTGTAATGGTTGCATTGAAAAGTGTAAAAAATTGGGAAGGGGTGAAGTACTTTGTACTGAGTATTATCGTCCGGTTGATATTGTAATGGTTTGAACAGTATGTTTGTAGAGTACTTTGTCCAGCCATTTTTCTTACTCATTATAAAAGAAAGGGCAGAATGGTAAAGTTAATTTTAATTTCTATACTTCCTTAATCCCCGTGCCGGTCAACTTTTGCACCTCAATTCGGGACAGAGGGAGTACAATTTTGAATGTAAACTCACTCAAACAAATTTCATATTTTTGACAAATCATTTCATAATTAGAATGCATATTTTACAACTCCCGGAATGTGCGTATTGATGAAATAGTCCTCCCATTGGATAGAGCTGGGGTCAAAGTTTACAATATTTGTCATGCTAGTTTGCGTTGTAGCCACTCTCAATCGTTTTGTGTTGGTGTCATCAAAACTGCAACATAGAATATTTGTATTATAATATATTTACATGGAAGAGAAAAAGAGCTTTACAAAAAAATGAATTGACACAATCCTTTGAACCTTAAAGATTGACCAAAGAGTTAGTTGATGTTAAATTGAGCATCTAAAGTACTACATAGTAAGGAATTTTAGAAATGAAGAATTCTCATAAAATAACATTACTGGTTTGTTACCTAGTAGGGTTGTAAACGAATCGAATCGAACCGAATACTTGATAATATTATTCGTATTCGTATAATTATCGAATATTCGTTTAAAATTCGAATCTTATTTTGTATTCGTATTCGATTCGTTTGATATATTCGAATCTTTTTCGAATCGAATTCGAATACTTGAATTCAAAAAACATTAAAGTTAATTTGTGAAAATAATTAAAATTATGATGTAAGTTTGCCCCTTTTAACTAATTTTCATATTACATATTTTATAGGAAACAAAATTCATTTATAGAAGTCACTTCAAATTTAATATCAATATAGATAAATCAACGAAGAATTTTAATTGTAAATTAAGCTATTTTGACCTGGTAAAGTAAGAATTTTTAAATTAAAATATGCAAAATATTTACATGAATATTTTGTTATTAATATTTTTACAATGAATATGTATTCATAAGAAGTAGTATATATTGTATGAATATATAAATATATAAATATATATATATATATAATTCGAATATATTCGAATATTATTCGAATCGAATATCATAGTATTTGTATTCGTATTCGCAAAGTATTCGAATCAAAAAACAGATTTGTATTCGTATTCGTATTCTACTTACTCGAATCATGAATCGAATCAAAATTATTCGATTCGTTTACATCCCTATTACCTAGTAGTATTATGGCTTTTTGACTAGTAGAATTTTAAATAAAAACATGTTACGATACAATACACTTATATATACGTACCTTCCATGAAAGAACAAGTATGGCTTGTACAACTCAGCAATCCGAATCACGAAACTTATATTTTTTTCAACAGTCGCACATTTTTCATCAAAGTATTGAAAAAGTATTGCGTTCAACAACCTTAATACCTAAAGTATTTCAATGGTAAACGAAAAACTAAATTAGGTCAACCAAAAATAATAATCCTTATCAAGTGGTGCATGTGTGTTTGTGTGTGTGTGTGAGAGAGAGAGAGAGTTATTCTATGTTAGACCAATTTGAAATTTCTCATAATTAACAACAAAGGCATTGAAAAAGATACATGACCACTAGATCTGATAGTTGATGTTCCCAATTTGTAAAAACATATTTTCAATTTCTCATGTGTGTAAAAACAAATTTCGCATAATTAAAAATAAAGCCTTTGAAATTTCTCATAATTAACAACAAAGGTGTTAAATCCCACACCGGAAATGTTTGAGTCAATGAAGCTAGTGCTATATTAAGACATGGGCTACTCCTCCTATCAAGTTGACCTTTCAGGATGGAACCTCATGTCTTAACATGATATCAGAAACAAATCGATCCATGGTATGGGCACCCTTATGAAAAATGATTGACATGATTATAAAAAAATGAAAATGACGAATTGATGAAAAAATAATGACGGCACGATCTAGACAAAGAGTCTGGTCGTGCGGAGGGGTGTTAAATCCCACATCGGAAATGTTTGAGTCAACGAAGTGCTATATTAAGACATGAGCTACTCCTCCTATTAGGTTGACCTTTTAGGATGGAACCTAATGTTTTAACAAAAGGCAATGAAATTTCTCAATTTATTTCGATGAGAACCACGTTGCGAGATATGTATGTTAAGCTAGCTATCTCACATAGACCAAATGGAAAAACATAAACTCTTATATAAGGTCGCTCTTTTTTAGCTTGTAGGATAACACTCCAATTCTTAGTAATATGGATTATTGATTAATTACATCACTATAAAACAATCTTAAAGTACCACACACATGCTCTCGATCAACTAGGGATTTCACACATTTACTAATTGTATGTGATAGATAGTTTATATATTCCCTCAAAGATGATAACAAATGGAAATATATTGAGTAAGACTTCAGGTTAGATTAGAGGAATTAAATCCAATTAAAAATGATCATAATAATTAATGTCCATTTATCATTATATTGATATTGTTTATTCTTGCATTGAAACGACTCGTATAGTAACTACAAAGAGTGATTGATGATGTATCTTGCTTGCGAGTGGGCTAGGGTTCCCATAAAGTATGTAGGACTGTGATTTGATCAGCTATAAATAAGAAATTTCATAAGTTACGAATACTGAAAAAACTCTCAAGGAATGCAACAAGCAAAATACAAATGAACTCTACAATTAGTTTTGTCAGACGAGCCTTATTTATGATAAAATAGTAGAAAAATAAAAAATCCAAATGAGTTTTCCCTATAGAGAAGAAGTGAATAGTCAATATGAACTAGGCGATTTCTTTCTACTTTGAAGGAAACATAAAAACTAAAATCTTTAAAATTGGAGGACATTTAGTTTAATTTTGAATTAAAGGATTTATATTACAAATATTTCACAATATAGCTGCGATTATCTTATTAGATAAGTTTAACTATTATGCAGACAATGAGATATATGTAGGTGGTATGTACCTTTAGCATTGGGATATAACGAAAGGAAATGTATCTTTGCAACTCATTCAAACTAGTAAGCAACATGGGCTTGCCTACTTTGACGAGCCTCCCACTCATGGTTGACCAGGGATTGTCCGTAAAATAGCGATATAAATAATTTCCGAGGTCCAATATTGTTAAATGATTGGTAGATGAAGAGCCAACATGATATATCAACTCCTCATCAGTATATATATTATGACTGTCACTTCCATGATGCATAATTGCCGCAAGTATTGAACTCACCACCATATCTCCGGGAATCTACATAATACATATATATTTATAGACCATTAATATTTGTGGAATTAGGGTGAGATCTAGCTAGCCCATAGTCCTTATGTGAAGTTAGAGTTCATTGAACTCAAATCTATATAATATAATAAAGCAAACCCTTGAATAACTCTTTGGAGGAGTAATTGACATGTGGCAACATTATTTGTATGAAAACATGACATGTAGCAACACAATAAATTAAAGAAAAAGCTATTCAACTTCCAAAATTCCACTCTTATGTATTCCAATATTATATATATATATATATATATATATATATATGTATATATATATATATATGTATATGTGTGTGTGTGTGTGTGTATATATATATATGTATGTATATATATATATATATATATATATAGGGGTGAGATCACATACAAATCATGCTTAACTTACAAACCTACAAACTCAATAATATGCAACACTGTGAACTTCAATATGCAGTACAAATAATGTAAAGATGCACTCTTTGAATTTCAATATGCAATACAAATAATGTAAATATGAAACTGTTATTTTATGGCTTGAATAATATGAAACACTTTGTACTTCAATGTGCAATACAAATATTGTAAAGATGACTTGGATGGGAGGACTAGTTTGTATGTGATCTCATCCCTGCATCTTTACATTATTTTTACTGCATATTGAAGTTCAAAGTGATGCATATTATAGAGTGTGTAGGTTAGTATTTTAAGCATGGTTTGTATTTGATCTCTTATATATATATATATATATATATATATATATATATATATATATATATATATATATATATATATGTTTTGGTTCAAACAAGAACATGATCTTAGGAGAGAAATGAGAATGAATCTGAACCGTTAGATTTGCTATATGTGAAATTCAATGTGCATTAGGTGAAACTGTAATGTCTATTAGGTGAAATTAAAATGTGCAACACAAAAGGTATGATACAGGGACATTATGTGAAACTTAATTGTGCATTATGTGAAATTGAAATGTGCATAATAAAATGTACGATGTGATGTTATTTTTGTACCTTTTATTCTACACATTTCAGTTTCACATAATGCATATGTGAGTTTAAATTTTTATTCCACTCATTTCAATATCATGTGATGCACATTTCACTTTCACCAAATGCACAACTCAGTTACATATAATTGAATCCAACGGTGCAGATTCATTCTCATTTCTCTCCTGGGAGCCTGTTCTTACCGGAACCGCTCCCTATATATATATATATATATATATATATATATATATATATATATATATATATATATATATATTTAGGATCATGTGAGAACTTAATCTTAGGAGAGCAAAAAAGAACAACTCACAACCGTTGGATCATCATTTTTTTTCAACGTAACGTGTATACACCAATAGGGTATTGTAGTCATTTCATAGTATTTCTATATTTAATGCTAACCGCCCCATTTAATGTCAAATCTTTATGATTTGTTAATTTACCTTCGTGTGCGTATGTTTGTTGTATTCTTATGTTTTTTCTTTTGATAGGATTTATCTTACGTATCACTTTTCATCCATATTTATTTTATTTTATTTTATTTTATTTTATTTTATTTTTTATTATATTTTTTTATTTATATTTTAATTTATTACCATCTCCTGTAGTTATTTAGTATATTATTCGATGCACTTTTGATAACTTGCATGTACATTAATTGTGTCTATATTTTTCATAATCATGATAATTTACATACAATTTTTCATTGCGCTGTGTCAAAGTAATGATGCACACACTTTTCATTTACATTATATTCACTTTCAGAACTGAAATAATGCACTATATTATTGAATTACGCTTTTTGTTAGAATACAAAGATGGCAAGGACATAATGGTGTAAATATTTTTCATTGCACTTTGTCGAAGTAATGATGCACTAACTTTTTATTTACATTATATTCACTTTCACAATAGAAATAATGCATTTTATATCAGAAGGTTTAATATAGTGATGCACTTTTGACTATATTTAATATGCACGTGATAAAAGTGCATTTCATTTTATATAAGAGTGCCAAAGTAATTTCGAAAGTATGACAAATAGTGCATTTTATATATATTTAAAATGCCCTTGCTAGTTGATAGTTTACACTCTTATATATTTATATTCATTTTTGTTTAATACATATATGGGTGTGCAAACCTCTTACACTTAAAGTGTAGGTTACTTTTATAAAAAGTGGAAATCAAATATTACATTACATATAAAGTGCAGTATAATGTGTAGAAAGTGCAAACTAATGACATACACGTGCAAATAAAGTGCAGTACAAAAGCGCATTCAAAACAATATAGTGGTACTCTGTATTTCACTTCATATCAATTTCTTTGATAAATGATGTTGATTATTAAAAGAGTATTAAAATAACTGTTTGCGAAAAATATTTAAATTGATGTTACAAACGGTTTTCGATAAAAGTGCAAGTATTCTATGCTCGAGTGCATATCTTGTGATCTAACTTGTGCATAGTGTATTTAATAAAAGTGCGACCATACAAAGGTGTAGTGCAAAACTTTTGACTTATTAAAGTTTATTATTTTATGAGGAAATATTTAATCTGAAAGAAAGTTGTGTGATCATGCAAAAAATGAAATAAAAAGACTGGAATTGATCATTAAATTGAAAAACAACTACGTATTCTGGGAGAAAAAATCAGGAAGAGGTGCAGTGGAGGATTTAATTTTTCTAACTATGGAAACCATCCAACTATAAATCCAACGTGTACAATAGAAAACTTAAAAATCTAAAAGCATAATAATAACTAACCGTCCGAGAGTTTAGGTAAATTCCATTTAGTCTGGTATTTATTAATGAGTTTTTTTAGGAAAGAGATTTAGTGGCCGGTTATATTGTAACATCATTTTACATAGTTGCCCTTAACACTAATTTTATGCCCAATCACGTGAGGTGCACAATTTTTTTTTTAAAAATCCCAAGCCCTTATCTTAGCCACACGATTACATTATTGAATGCTTGGAATTTAATCTTTTTTGCTCTCCTAAGAGGGTGTTCTTATTGGATCTAATCCCTAAATATATATATATATATATACATATATGTATTAATATTAATATATGTGTATATATTTGTTATATATAATGCACAATTTTCAAATCTAACGTTTTCCAGTTTATATATATAATAAATAATGGTAGTGTAATTTATTTGAATAATTATTCTATATAAGAGGTTTTTTTCCTAAAAAAAAAGAAATAAGAGTTTTTTCCTAAAATATTACTCATAAAATATAGGGAAAAAGATATTTTAGCACCATAGTCAAGTATTATTATTTTTTCAAAATGTAAATTTATCGTGTTAATTGCATAATTTTAAATATTTTAGAATTCATGAAGACACAATTAAAATTCCAAACTTCCAATGTGAAATAAATAATGTTACCCACAATCTATATAATTGCAACACTTTTAATTTACTATTTTAAATTATGCAATTAACCCCATAAATTAAATTTTTTGAAAGAAATAACGTTTTATATAAAGTTTGGAGTATTTAAATTGCATATGCAAGTTCGGGTGCTTAGCTCACACACCTTCAAGATTTCGGATATTTTTATTATTTTTCCCTAAAATATATATAGAGAAAAATGTGACTATAAGTTACTATGAGTAAGTTACTAAATTACTGGAGTGACATTGTTATCCACGGCTTTAATTTTGGTTATATATTTATAATTATTTTTAGAAATAATAGTTCAATGAGGGATGCAAAATAATAAGTATATTTGAAAATTACTTTGATAGTAAACCATCAATATTGAAGACAATGAAAGTAAAAATAAATGTTTATATTTTGGTTTTACTCACATTCTGCATGGATCAAGCCACTTAACCTACAACCAATGCTAATTGACCCACGAAACTGATAAGTTCATTGGGTTAAAGTATGAGAACTCTAACCGACCGTGAAAAGAGACGAAATGGGCTAGCCCTATAGACTTCAACTCATTTTGACAATTCTATCCATAGTCAGACTTGATTTTCTTTTAAACTCTGATTGACGAATTCACATACAATTCTTTTAAACACATATTTTGCCGTACACATACTAGTTAGTAATCATACGAACTGAGAAGTGTTTTTGTGGTGGGATTGTTCAACCCATTTGAGCTTCTCAATTAAATTCACATTTCGTAGCTAGACTTCTAAAGTTCAGTTCATATACATGATCCTTTTGGGTAATCTAATGTCAAACAGATCACCGTTACTTTACGAATTATCTAGTAATTGTTTTATTTGCCATCAGGTCATCGTTTTTCTAAAATGAGAATTTTAGTTATTTCCTAATTAGGCCCAACTTCAAGAAATGCCACTCAATCTAAATAACCACGAATAATTTGCACATTAACGTGCATTTTTAACTACTTGATGTTATAAAAAACACTTTAGATTTGAAATATATATTTAATTTATGATCGCTTGCTAAATTTAACGACCTTTAGTATTGAATATTTATATACATACCGCGTCGAGTATTGAGTCCGGATCTCCCATCATGAAATTTGATCTTCCTTTGCCATACATCAATACAAAGATATCCATGGTTCTGCCATTGTTATTAAAAAGTAAAACAAAAATAATGGTGGGAATATTAAAAACATTAATAAATAGTTAATACATTATTTAGATTTGAGAAATGAAAACGTTTTGAAGGATATGGAGGTTACATATTTATAGTTACTCACCTTGCACCTTCAATCCATCCAGGAAAAGGTTCTTTGTAAGTGCTTGTAATAATTGTAGGGCGTAACATTATGACACATAGATTCTCCTTAAACTTTAATAACAACATTTCTCCCATTGCTTTTGTGAATGAATATGTGTTTGGCCATCCATGAAGCTTTGCCCTATATATATTGCCACAAATTATTGGTCATCATAAATTAAATTTTCTACTCTTCGAGCTAGCTACGAAAATGAACTATTTAGCCTAAAACTAAATTTGGATCACATTGTGGCATACCTTTGGATGCCCAAAATTTTCATGGCTACTCTGATTTGTTTTTCTGTTGCATTTTGGGCTTTAAGTTCCATTAACTTATCTTCTATTACTTTTTTCTCTTCACCAATGTCTAAATAGGTATGCCCATTAAGTGTTTCACCGAGATGGAATGGTCTTTCCGGTATTATTCCAATTCTGTCACCACAAACATAAGCTGCAAACCATACATCGTTATGCATTACATTAGCTAGATAGAAAGTGATCATCAAATGAAATAAAATAACCTTAGCTTGATTTCCCATAACTTTAAATTACTGAACAATTAATACAGTTTAGCTTTTTAGTTTTTACTTGCTTTGTTGTGTTTGTGCTGTGTTTGTGCTTTGTCTTTGTTTTCATTACATATACTTGTATAAAATATATTGGAAGGCTCAAATGAATAAGTGTCTTTCTATGAAAAACACTTGAAAATTGATGTAATAGATCATTTTAAATCAAAAAACTAGTGAAATTGTAATTGTGTGAAACTTCATTGTGCATTATTTTATATTAAGAAGTGCATCGTGTATACATAAAAGCTTTTATATTCATAAATATATTTTAAAAATTGTTTTCATATCTTTTAACCTGTGCACGTTTTTTTGAGATTCTTGTATACTTTGGTAGTACTCCCTCCGTCCCATTGGAATGTTCTCATTCGGATTACGATGTTTGACTGACGATAAAGTAACTCGATCCCTGTTCACACTCCGCTTATTTTAAGTACATGAAATTTACATAATCAGAAACTACATTAAAACAGCTACAAAGCCTGATCAAGAAAAGTTCAATTTGATAAAAAATTGATATGTAAAATAAAAGATTAGGAGTGACCTAAGTTGACCAATGAATAGTGAATGGGAACATTCCAACGGGACGGAGTCTCATTTTAAGCTTAGTTTGTACAAATGAGGAAGCTTAGTTCCTATTTTCTACAAGAACCGTCTTTACTTGAAGCAAATTATATTTGTAGATATGTGTACATAGTGTTTAAAATAAAATGAACTACATATTCAAATATTCAAACATACCAGTGGATACATGAACAATCATCTTAAAATTATGGCATTTCTTGGCAAAATTCAGCACATTTGTTGCGCCCATTGTATTTGTACTCATTGCAACATCATACCTACAATTATATAAACAAACCAATGCAAACAATTAAATATATGATTATAATAATATTTCACTCACTCTTTTATGTTCATTTTAGTTTTTTTGTCTAACATTTACCGTTTCTTCTTTCTTTTCATGAGTATGATATGCATAATGAAATTACACACACGCTCTTTCACAAAAAAAGAAAGTTATTTGTATGTATCTAAAAATTAAGAGTAAAATCAAGGAATTAATTAATGAGGAAAAAAAACTAATACAGTTATTTTAAGATAACAATATATATAAGAGTCAAATCAAGAATTTTATATATGATAACAATGTACGTAGCCATGATGTAGGCAATCTCATCGATCCTTTGAATTGAGTACATATATACACATGTACATAATTTAATAGAACAACTAGATTCATTATTATTTCACCCTACTACTTAGAAGTTAATTAAAGTCTCTTTGGTAACCTTGTTTTTCCGCTTATCAGACTTATCAGTTAACTTTTTTACCAAACACATAGCCTTTGATTTCACGCGCTAAATTATGTAATAATAAGAAAAAGTAAGGTTGTAGTTACTTTTCTGGTTGTTTGTCTGAAGTTATACTAGAGGATCATTTTAGTTTTTTTTTTCATATAATTTTTTTAAAATATATTTTAAATATAATTTTTTCATAAATCAGCAGAATCAGAGAATCCAACCAGTTCAGCCAAAATTTTATAAATTTCAACAGAATCAACCAATACAGCCGATTTGGATATTACCAAACGGGCTCTAAGTGTTGATGTATTTACTTCGAACAAGTATTAACGTGTTACATGTGGCAGTGAGTATTAACACAATGGGGATGCGTAGTAAATAATTTATTCGTCCCTTATAACTCTGTCCATTTATCTTTTTTATTGTCCCGCTAACTTTATCACTTTACTTTTTAATCATAAAATTTGTGGTTCTTGTTTACTTATATCTCCGATGCACAAACCCAGGGACGAAGCCAGGATTTGGTCGTAGGGGGCCAAGAAGGAACACAAATATTAAAGAGAAAATTCACTAAATAAGATTAAAACAAAAATAAAGTGCATAAAAAGTATTATGGTTGTTTTATTTTCAAAATGTGACTTATATAATGCTATTCTGGAAAACTTTAATCAAATTATTATTAGTAGGACTAAGTAAGATCTATTTGAGGAATAAAACATATTTCTTCATATTTCCAATCATATATATGAAGTTATTTAATTAGGAATGATCATGTCCAAACTACCTAACAAGATCCATTGTCCGACCGCTTATGTTTGAGGTGCTTCCGGGTTTACTCTTGTGATGAAATTTTTGAAAATGTTTTTCGTTATGTGTAGACTATTTACACCAAATTTTAATTTAAAATTCAAGTAGGAAGTCAACTAAGCAAATTATTGAAAAACATTGCACCAAAATATATGTAAAATAACGCAGTGTTTTCCATAATTTATTTAGTTGACTTACCAATTGAGTTTTTAGATGAAATTTGATGTAGATAATCTACATGTAACGAGGAATATGGTTAAAACTTTCATTAAAAAATTATATCCGAAAGCATCTCAAATAGAAGCTTCTATCACACAATATTTTCTAATTATTTCATATCTAATACCAGTACTAGTAAAAAAAGTTGGGGAGCCAAGACCTCCTGTGCCTATACCTACCTCTGTCCCTGCACAAATATCAATCACACATTTTTTACTTTATTATTTTCACAAAGTTATAAGGGACGGATGGTGTATTCACCTTGAACAAATATTAGAACTGGCAAGGATATTTTTAGTTGAACTGTTTTCAATCTCAGACCAGACCAGACCAGACTTAAACAGATCAAACCAGACCAGACCAGACCAGACTTATGCAGACCAGACCAGACCAGACCAGACCAGACTAGACTTAAACAAACCAGACCAGACTTAAATAGACCAGACCAAACGAGACCAGACTTAAATAGACCAGACTAGGCGTTTACCAGACCAGACTAGTTCAGACCAGACCAAACTTAAACAGATCAGACCATACCAGACTTAAACAGATCAAAGCAGACCAGACCAGACTTAAACAGACCAGACCAGACTTGACTTCCATAGTTATAAAATACACACAGACTAGACGTTTACCATACCAGACCATTTCAGACCAGATCAGACTTAAACAGATAAGATCAAACCAGACCAGACTTAAACAGACCAGACTAGACCAGACTCAAACATACTAGACCAGACCAGACCAACAAATTATAGTCCAAGTAAAAACATTGTAAAAGGTCAATACGATTTCCTATAGTACGTACTCGGTATGTAGTTATGTAGGTAGATGTTTCACTAAGGATATTTTTAATTAGACTATAATTCTTTTGATCTAATCTGACCCGGTCTGAATATAAATTCTATGTGTACTCGATAACTATCAAAGTGTACTGTTGTCTGATTTGATAATGCTGATTTGGTCTGATTTGGTCAATTTAAACCTGATATTGAACTAAAACCAATCCAATTATAGTCATCGCACCTCTCATCAAATACAGTAGTTGCAGCGGAGTTAATAATAATGTCCAATTCTCCCAAAAGTTGCTCATCATTTTGAATTCCCAAATCCTTGAGGGAAATATCGCCAGCCACTCCGAACACCTTCTCCTCCACAAGGGTCTTAAACTTATCACCATACTTTTCTTTCACAACTCTAAACAATTCACTGTCCATAATCTGAAACAAAAAGCAAGTCTTTGATATCATTGCTTAATATACACTTAAAATTTCAAGGAAATATCTAGTGATGAGTAGTGTGAACTACTGTATCTGCTAACATGTGTCAAATATGTGTTATAGTAATCGACCTAACAATATGTTTTCACAAACACCGACATACGAGATTACGAGTTGATATGAGATAATAACGTACTACGGACGGAGTACAATATGACGACTCACCTAATTTCCTTAATTTCTTCTGGAATACTTGGTCTGCGCTTATCTGGGTTTTGAATAAATGACATCTATATATATTATTAATAGGGTTTCCTTGCAAAAAATATTAATAGAGTTTTTCCGAACAAAAATATAACTAGTTATATTTTTGAACAAATATACTCTCTCCCTATTTAAAAATTTGCTAAACTTTTCTATTTGGAATATATTTAAAAGTTTGCTACATTTTTCCTTTTAGTAAGTTTTTCTTTTAAAAATATCCAATTATCCACCCGCGTATAGTTCCAGCAAACAATTTGGACTTTTTTTTTGGAAAAGAGCTTTAGTATTTAGGTCAGAGAATTGTACCCTGCTTCTGGTGTCGTTGAATAACACTCGTTTTTTAATAAGAGTTTAGATGTCGTAGAAGTTGCTAAAAAGACTATATCGTTGCGATTAAAGAAGAGAAATTTTTTACATTCAGAACTCAAGGAAAAAACATTTATCATTTTCATTTTTAGTATTGTCTAAATAAAATAGTCTAAAATGACATATGTTGGTTTTAACTAGGGCTTTAGATGAGCCGAGTCGAGCTTAAATATTCAAAGATCTTGTTCGACTTGTTAAGGTAATTAATAGGGTTTAATGCATCAAACACCCCCGTGATATAGAAATTCGGCGCATTAACCCCTTGTGATTTAAAATATGCATCAAATCCCCTAGTGTTTGAGTTTGAGTTCAAAGCTCAACGAGCTGTGCGAATAGGGTTAGGTCCAGCTCGATAGATGTTTGATATTTGATTTGATCGCACGATAAGCTCCATAAATATGCTCTCCAATGTAAAAATCTATGGAATTGAATTTAATTTAATTTAAAAATCTAGTTTATGTTCATTAGCAAGTTCTACTTGTATTGTTGGAAATGTACTCGAAGTTTTAGCAAAAGTAATATTGATTTGAATCACATAGTTAAACACAAAGACTATAACGGAAAGAACAAATGTAATGATTCTACAAAGGGTTATGTCAAGGGCTTTGCACGAATTAATATATCCTCATCAAACTCGGGTCAAATTAAAATATATGCAAAATCAGCTTTGCCTCGAAAAAATTAGCACAGCCTTGACAAAAAATTGTCAACTCGGAGTAATTATGTTAAGAGATAGAATTATGTTAAGAGATGCATGGAATAGTAAACTTGAATTCTGAGCTACTTCAATTTGGACACGTAGCAATATATTTAAAACTAGTACAAACAAATTTTGGGCACCGTGTATGTAACGTTAGACACGATCCTAGGAATTAGGATTGAAAAATAACTAGAGAAATCTAATCCAAAATCAAAAATAGTGTCAGGAGTTCTAGTCCAAATTATGTTTTTCTTTTAAAAAGCAGAATATAGTTGAGTTGTCTTAATGAGTTAAAACTAAAAACTATACCTCTAACGGCTCTAATCCATAGATGTACATCGCATCGCATGGACCCCACATTCAATAATCTACTTCTAGCTAATAAAAAAAGGGATACGGGTCAAATAGGGCCTCAAACTTGAAAAAAATGTCAAATAAGACCATATTTAGGATGCGCTGTCCGACCGATGCCATTTGGGGCAGTTCTCGATGAAATTTTTTAAATTTTTTTTTGAGAATCTTATTCATTAAGTCTAGTTTACTCATATCAAATTTGAACTAAAATTTCAATCGGAAAGGCATACAAATGAATTATTGAAGATAACTGCGCAATTAAAAGATTAGTGCAATATCCATGCACATCCGACCCATTCTCACTCATGCGACAGTGCCCCTTTAAAAAACTTATGGGTCCGTCACAGGTATGATGTAATTGTCTAGATTGACCTCAATTTCAAAATGATCTACAATATGCAAACGTGACTATCAAAAAAGGGAGACATGTAATTTGTAAGTTAGAATGGATGGAGTTATATTTTTATTTCGTTGATGCATGCCTTATGTAGTACACAGTAACGAAAACAGGGGTGATTCCGGGAAAAGGTAACACGGAGCGCCAAAATACGAGACTTTTCCTAGGGTTTTTGAAAATACGGGAGTCGGAACTGCGAATTCCGGTCGCAAGAAGTTATTTTTTAAAGTTGGTTAAAACCTCTGGTAGGAAGTGTACAATCCGACTAGCTTTTTTCTTTTTTAATTATTCTACTTTGAATTATAATGGGCTTTCAATTTCCTTTATCTTTACCAAATTTATACCCAAATTATTAGTTTTTTACATATTACATGTTCAGAAGTTAAACACGAGGACTAGTTGGAGCCTTATTGTTATTTTTAATCTAGAAATCATAATAACTTTTTTATTTATTATCTGGTTTATTTTAAAAAAAAGCAAATTAAACAATCTTTCATGATCTTTCACATGACACCAATATTGTATATGTAATTTTTAAATAAAATTATCACATGACTATACTAATGGTTACTTTCCCCGTCCTACTAAGATTGTCTCACCTTTCTCTTTTAGGGTCTCCCATTAAAATTGTCTCATATCTAATTTGATAAAATTTGTGTTGTTTAAAATCATTCTTACCTTATTGTTATTTATCGATTCAATATCAATTCAACTATTTACACCCACTTTTATTAATGCTCGCACCGCCTTAGCTTTTCATATCTGGATGTTAGTGTGGCAGAGCCGTGGAGGTAGTACTAGATTGTACGAAAATACTGATTGAAGAGCAAACACATAATTGGTAGGTTGCACAAAATTTTTTACCAATTAATAGTTACATATGTATTTTGTTCCCAAATATGAGTTATTTTGTTCTAACATATATAAGAATAAATCTTTACTAATTATATGTAAAAGAATTATAGTTACTTGATAGAAATTATTTTTTCATTTAGTGTTTGCTGCACTTTCTTTTTCCTTATAGTATATGTTCTATTAAATGACAACATCCTTGATTGGAATGAGTTTGGAACATGTGACCACCTCCTTGGGAGTGTCATTGTGTTGTCATCAAACCACAAGGTGATCGGCACGTAGTTGTGAAATAAATTTATCAAATGAAATTCAATTTTGATTTTTTTTCTGTGAATTTTTTTATATGTGATTAGATTTTATCTGATTAATTTTTATCAGATAAATTTTATTTGAATAAATTTTATCTAATAAAATTTTAATATTTTTCTACCAACCCGGATGCACATTTGAATGCATAGTACTACCTCCATCGCACTGCCATTGGGACAAGACTGAATGACAAGATTATTAAGAAAAGTGAGTTTATGTAATTGATATTGAACTGATAAAGTAAGAATAAAGTCAAAATAATATAAAGTCACACAAACTTTACCAATTTTATCTGGTTTATTTAAAAAAATCAAATTAAATAATTTTTCATGATCTTTCATATGACACCAATATTGTATATGTAATTTTTAAATTAATTTATCACATGATTATAGTAATAGTTACTTCCTCCATCCCACTAAGATTGTTTCACCTTTCTCTTTTAAAGTTTCCCATTAAAATTGTCTCATATCTAATTTGATAAAATCTGTGTTGTTTTAAATCATTCTTACCTTATTCTAATTTATCGATTCAATATCAATTCAACTATATACAACCACTTTTATTAATACTCGCACCGCCTTTTCATATCTGAATGTTAGTGTGGCGGAGCCGTGGAGGTAGTACTAGATTGTATGAAACTACTGATTGAGTATGCTATTACACTCGATCTGCTAAAATTTGATAATACCCAAATCGGCTGTATTTGGTTGATTCTGCTAAAATTTATGAAGTTGTTGTTGAAGTGGTTAGATTGACTGATTCTGCTCATTTATGTAAAAATTATATTTAAAATATATATTATTAATAAAAAAAATATATGAAAAATGGCTAAAATCATCCTCTATAGTAAGTTCAACCAATTAAGCTAGTGATTGTGTTTTAAACAAATTCAAAATTTAGTTTGCTTTGATAAAAAATAAATGTGTTCGGAATCATCATTGGAATAATTTAAATAAAATGGTTTCAGAATTATTAAACAAATATGCAATTTTAGCAATTCTTAAAAAATACTCCCTCCGTCCCCTTTTAAATGTCCCATTTTACCATATTGGGATGACCCTATTTAATTGTCTCATACCTTATTTGGTAAAGTTTGTGTGGCTCAAAATTATTCTTACTTTATTCTTACTCCATTCTTACTTTATCTATTAATATCAACCACACAAACCTACTTTTCTTAAAACTCGTGCCACCCTCTTCCGGGACATTTAAAAGGGGACGGAGGGAGTATAAAATAAATAATTATGTTTTCATAATTTTATATAATTCGAAGTGGAATTATTTGTTTAAAAAATCTGGTCGGATTCCTTAGTTCCAACTAGAGGTTTTATCCAAATTTAAACAAATGCTTCAGCTCTAGAGTTCCAACAGAAAATTTTTTATGAATTAAAATAATCCCTAACTCCAGTCGGATTTCCCAAATCCAACCACGGGAAAAAACTATTTTTGAAGCCCTCCTCTAGTCTGATTCACCAATTCTGACTCCCGTATTTTTGTACCATAATCCCAACTTCCGTATTTTGGCTTTTCAGAAGAGAAAACCCCGTATTTTCGTCTTTTCCTCCGAAAACAGCTTGCATGCATTGTAGTTGTGACTGAAACGTCTGAAAGACAGATACTTTTATGAATATATAGCAGTTACACTTTTCTAAGTGAAGCCTGAGGGATTCTTTTATCCATACTATATTTCAGTTGGAGCAATTCAATTAAACAAGCACTTTCTAGTTGGTAATTATATTTAAGTAAACTTATTAGTATATAAATAAAGGTATATATATATATATATATATATATATATATATATATATATAATTAGTATATATTTGTATACGCTTCACACGCGCGCGCATGTGTGTGTGCATGTATAATATATGCATATATACCTCAGTGTTGAATCTTTTCATAGCAGATACAGAATCATTGGCTCTAATTAGAAGGTAGAGCTTTTTTATGTCTGGTTGAGTGCGAAGGATCTTCTCTACTAGCACTGCAGTTATACATATGTTGACAGAAAAGTATAAGGGATTATATTCCACGTACAAATTTAATCTAATTTCAAAAAGAAAAATAAAAGTGATCGTTACAATTATTTTATTAACAAAGACGAGTAGTAATTAAATTTTCGATTCGTATCAAAGTAAAGTATAAATATGTACGTATAAATATTTATAATCTGTGAAAATATTTTGAAGCTTTAAGATTCGAACCCGTAATATAAAATGTTTAATACAAGCCAGCCCCCGTAGGCCGTAACAATACATTTCTGGCTCCATCACTAAGTACACCGATCGATTATTATCGATGATGGCAAAGATATGGAAAGATAGGAGCAAGCTGAGATTAACCTTTGGCGAGGAAGCCCGTTGCGCCCGTGATAAGAATGGATTTGCCCACGAGAAATTCCATTAGCGGGAACTGAAAAAACTTAAAGTATGAGCTACCTTAGTTATTGGATGGGGTTGGGACTTGGGAGTAAATATTGATTTGCAAGCGATGAAAAAGGTAAGGGCTCGGGGTGGGGTATATATATGCAAACGATGGTTGATGGTGAGTGTAAGTGTGCAGCCGAGCGCATTTGTTCTATGTCGGTGAGACCGGCTACCCTCATTATTGAACCGCCTACCTCGGTACGGTCAAACTTCACCGTAGTACACGCCCAAGACTGTTTGCTCACAAGGCTTCGTACTATTGGAAGCCACAGCTTTAAATCTTTTACACGGTAAGTTTTTTTTAATGGAAAACCACCGTAAGTTTGAAAATAATGAGAATGCATGGTGCTGTCGAATCTAAATTAAAAATGATATAATGATGTGGACTATCAAGTGAATGATAGGTCCGGTACTCTATTTTTTAAATCGGTGTCGGAGTTGACACGAAAACTTTATCACTTTTCTATTAAAATGATTAATTTATAATTATGCTCATTTATCTCTCCATTGCACAATTATCAATCATATATAACTTTTACTTTTCCTATTTCTCACCTAATTATTAGTTGATGAAGTCCATTGTACCAGACGGAGATAATATATTATATAGAAATTACTTCAAATAGGACTAAAACAATGGCAAAAACTCAAAACAGGACTTGCTATGTTTTTATTCCAAAATAGGACCATATGAGTCCTATTGGAAACATACCTATGTTTACCTTCCATTCTTACCCTTTCGTTAAATATGAGTTAAAAATAGTCAAAAGCCATAATTAAATGTTTAATTCATAATAAATTCTAAAAAAATTCAAAAATTCGTAGAAAAATAATTAAAAAGTTTACAAAATATTTATAAAATAAAAAATTCAAAATACATTTTTTTAATAATTTTTTTTAAAAAAATATAAAAAATAGTAAAACTCCATTAAAAAAATTAAAAAAATATGGATGCCTTTCCCACCGCCTGTACTACCTCCCTGCACCGCCACCTCCGACCAGTGAAAAAATGCCATTTTTCCTAAAAACTACCATTTTTTTCCCCTGAAAATGCCAAAAAAGTGGCATATTTCTCTTTGCGAATGCCAACATTTTCATTGTTTTCTGCCATAAATATGGCATTCGTAATGAACTTGGCATTTTTTCCCCTGGTGAATGGAGGTGGTGGTGCAGAGGCGGCAGAGGTGGCGGTGAATTTTATTTTATTTTTTTGAGTTTTTTATTTTTTTAATTTTTTTTAAAATTTTTTGAAAAAATTTAATTAATTAATTATTATTATCGAAATATTTTTATTAGTTTGTTAGTATTTTTTACGAATTTTTATTATTTTTTATTAGTTTATTATGAATTAAAATATTTCAATAGCTAGAAGGGTATATTTATCCAAGACACACATAATTAGCCCTGTGAAAACATAGTTTAGTTTTTGGTCCTATTTGTGCAAAGTGAGTCACTTTTAGTCCTATTTTGATAATTAACCCTATATTATATTTCAACTTTTCATGATTAATAACTCATTAACATCACTATCAAATTTAATTAAGAAATCACAATTGTGGTTTCTGAGGATGATGAATATGTGGCTACTATTATTTATCATATCTTGAGTTAATCATTTGCTTAGCTTACAAATAGAGGTCGGTGTTTTTTGGAAAAATGATTTTACAAATTAATACTTTAGTCACTGTGGAACTAAAATAAGTAAAACACGAACTTCTCAATTTTAATGGGATTTAGTCCTAATTAACATTTTTCATTATGTGAGGTGAATGTTTCCATATATTAATTGTAGGAAACCGTTTTGGAATATAATGAACGAAGAAATATCCCATGAAATTCTCTCTGAGACAAGTTTCATGTAGGACTTGTCCCGCACCGCCGCCGCCATCCGGCCGGTCGAGTTACGGGTTCGGGTCCTGATTTACTTGTCGGCCGTTTGCGGCTTAAAGACAATTTCCTCTATTTTATTCTTTGAATTTTCGTATATTACGTGGCAAATTAAAGAAGTTGTTAAGACATGAGATTCCATCCTAAAATGTCAACCTGGTAGGAGGTGGAACTCAGATATTAATATAGCATTTAATTTCATTACAAGTTTCTGGTGTGAAAATTCAACACCCCTCCTCACGACCAGACACTTCATCTGGATCGTGTCGTCATTCATTTTTTTCATCGATTAGTTATTGTCATTTTTATAATAATCGTGTCATCATTTTTTATAAGGGGTCCACACCATGGATCGATTAGACTCTGATACCATATTAAGACTTAGAGTTCCATCCTAAAAGGTTAACCTGATAGGAGTAGAAGCCCAGATCGTAATATAGCATTTAATTCCCATAAAAGTATCCAGTGTTGGAATTCAACAGAAATACAATTTGAAAGATAGGTCATAACCTCCCTTTTAAATGTGTCTTCTGGGAATGAATTCTCCTGGTCAGAGCTCTATAAATTCCCATGTTTGCCTGCGTTGTTATCAATCTGAAATTTAGAATTTTAACTCTCTTCTCTCCTCCATTAACGCTGCATCTCTGAGTTCGCCGGTGTCCTTCAAGAATGTAGAAACTGTTATATCTTGGGTCCTTGGAGACGATTACTACTTTTCTTGTAGGCAAATTCATTTCAAGGAAATAGTGATTCATTGGATTCGATTTCATCCAAGTATTTCTATTTAATTCTACTTATTTTTTTATTACATGTAGAATTTTCTCTAACAATATTAAGATGAATTTATTTGCTACGCGTAGTAATATTTTCTCCTCTGCGTTCTGCATGTATACTTCTGAGTCTTCCGTTCATATGTTTACTTAATCTGTGTATGTTCTTATGCATATAATTATTCGTTCTCGTATTGGTATGTTCATAAAAAAATTGATGGGGCATCTTCGTCAATTTTGTTTTTTTTCGCAATAATCTTCATCAATTTTGTTAAAACAAAAAAATGGCTACAATAGGACTAGGGACTTTTTTGTTAGACAAAAATAGGACCATGATAGAGTATATCCTCTTAGAGAGAAGTGAGAGCTAGAGAGAGAAGTGCAATAAATATTATATTAAATGATTTGTGAACCACCTACAACTACCCCCAAGGGGAGTATTTATAGAGAAAATGTGGGCTGGGCTCCTAAGTCTTGGGTTTGGGAGGCCCGTTTACAATGGGGCCTCTACTGGGCCGAATACAAAGTATGTAAATTGGCTAAGTATGGAATCCGACTCTGTGAGCTCTTTGTGACCGACGGAGGTCTGGCCGACGGAGACCTGGGCCAACGGGGACACCCGGTCCTCCTGACTTCTGGATCATATTCTGAGTTGACATCTTTCTGGCCAATGGGAGACCATCTGGCCGACGGAGGGACCACTGCGTGATAATTGTGCATCTTATTCTTCTTTGTATGTGGGTCATGGGGTATGGACCCATATACTCCATCAGGAGTCCCTCACTCTCTGAGCTGAGACGCAGGAGAAGTGAAAGAGAGTAGATTCTCGTGGCCTTGATGTTTTTTGTGGCCGATGTGGTACCGTTGTGGACGAAGGAGGTCCTTGCTCTAAGGATGGTGAGTGCTCTTATGCTTGAGGACAATAGTTGTCCTGGCTTGAGTAGCCGATGAGGGATCTCGGTCATGAGGGTGACGCGACCTCTGTGGCCATCTTTGGCTGCTTTTTGTGCTTCTGGCCGAGGAGGCACCGTGATTGCTTTTAGTGCTCCAGGCCGAAGTGACATTATTCGTAGTTCGGTGTCCATGGCTTTAAGGACGATGAGGGTCCTGGACCAGAGAACATTGTGTGTCCTTAGTTTTGTGGATGTTGGGTTGTAATTTTCTCATCTTGACCGAGGGTGGAGTATGTGACTCAAGGCCGTTGGCACACCACATGTCGAGGGACGACACATGTCATGTTCTTGGTGGTGTGTTTGAGCTTCGCTTCCCTGTTTGCTTACTTTCTTGGGTTCTCAATTTTTATCTGTCTTTTGCGATGAAGCCGATGCAGTCCCCCAGTCCCCCACTGCTTCAGACCAGATGAGTGAGGGGTGAAGGAGTAAAGTAAAACCCCAGACCGAAGCGGGATCCTCATATTTCCCCTGAATCCAACCTCTTGGCAATTCCTGACCAAGGTAACCCGGTGGGAGAACCCTTGGATGCAGGTCGCTTTCAAGAGGTTATCAACAGTAGGTTTTATTTGAGGGCCGATGGTTGTTGGGCTCTGCTCCACTTTCCTTTTGTGGCCGCTGAAGGGGCCACACTCATTGAAGCTTTTTATGCCGAGGTGGTGTTCTGATATGGGGCAAGCCATTGAAGTAATGTTGAGTGCTTTGGTTGGTCGTCGAATGTTTTGGCTGATGTAGGCGCAACTTGTGGGTTCGTTTGATCCGTTGCGTATCCTTTGGGCTGATGGCACTGGAAGTGGGCTTGTCCCATCTCTGAAGCGGTGGAACCCCATTGGTCCCTGGGGTGGTGGTCGTACGCGTTGCCAATTGGGAGGTGCCACATGTAGTGACGAAGTGCTACCCAATTTTCTAGAGAGAGAGAGTCTGGTTCGAGTGTTCTTCATTCCCTTCAAACTTCAAAGGTTAGTTCGTCAACCTTTCCTCCTGTTTTTTGTATACTTTGCTTCCTTGGGCTTTGATCTAGTGTTTATCAACGAGACACACTTAGATCCTAGATAATCCCCCTTAGGACTTGAGTAGTTTTTATGGTGAAGCCTTTGGACGAAGAGTACTACCCATACGACGATGAGGTTTCTGCCAAGTCCCTTGATTACCAAGTGGTGGTAGAGTGTTGCGAGGAAATTGAGGAGTTGAGCCCGTTTAGATCAGGGGAGAAGGGGGACGAGGAAGACATGGACAAGGATGCCGCCTCGTCTTCAGAGGGTGAGGACATAGGGATCTCTCCTGCACTGGACAGGTCCTCCACGCCGGCTGCCATTCCGTGCTCTAACCCGGTTTCCCCCGTCAAAGGGAAAGGTCCCGTGGTGAGTGCTTCATCAAAGAGGAGGCGTTGGCCGAAGAAGGGTCCGGGTGTGTCCTACCTGGATCTGACCAATCTGTACATCATCAGGCCGCAGAGCAACATGGGTGAATATATCGTTACCTAG